GTGGCTATCTCGTACAGCGGCAGACCGGCTCCACAGCCTGCTCATAGATGCCGGCCGAGCTCTGTGTCTCTCTGCACCTGTCCTCACGTCTCTTGCTGAGGCAAGCCCGTGTTCACCAGCGAGTATTTCGGTAGTTTACTCATCGGTACATGCAGAGGCTTCTTCTCGGGCTTCTAACGGCAGAGTGCAGAGTTTTTTTTTGAGCTTTTCCGGGCGACGGTTGCCTCTTTGACGACTGTGAGCAGCCGTACGAGGAGACCGCGCTTAGCATGTACTTCAACCGCGCGGAAAGGGGTAGGACAATTACCTGAGAGGCCTGTTGAGCCACGCGGTGCATATCGGCCTCATCAAAACCAGCTTCGAAGGCCGTCCTGACTCTGCCGCCTCGGCTTGCTAGCTGCAGAGCCGGGCTAGCCCTTCATCTCCATGACCCCCAGCGTTCGCTGCCTTCCTGATGACGAGGAGGAAGAGGGCGAACTGCCGGGATCGGTACGTTCGGGGTCGGTGCTGTCTCTTGGACTGGAAAAATCTCCCACCCATGATGCCTATGAGGTGGACCCGCCTTCCCCGACCGACAATGTCCGAGCCTTCGCCGACCAGATGGCTCGTATGGCCGAGACGCTGGGCCTGGAGGTCAAGCAGTCCTCTAAGGCAGTGACCGACCCTGTCTTCAAGAGGGTGCAGAGGGAAGCTCCACCAGCCACTCTATTACCCTTCCTCCCCTACCTGCTGGAAGTGATCCAGGGCTCCTGGAAGACCCCGTCGTCCATCCCACCGACGTCGAGGAAGATTGAAGCCTGGTACAGAACCGATGATGAGGGGCTGGAGTGGTTGAAGCATCATCCCGACCCGAATTCGGTGGTCGTGAAGGCTGCTCAAGGTTTCGGCCGTCAATCCTCTACGCCCTCCGACCGCGAGGGGAAGAGGTTCGATGCCGTGGGCAGGAAGCTCTACTCGGGTGCTTTGCTGCTGGCCCGTATGGCCAACTACGGAGCGTGCATTGGGTGGCCTACAACAAATTCTATGAAAAGGGCGCGAGGCCGCTCATTCCTAGTAGAATCGCGGCTAGAGACCGTGCTGCATGTCAACACGCTCTGCAATAGAGAGGACCATGTCACTCAGCGCCCTCTCAACTACGCGCGCTGAGGCGGGGCATCACGCTAGTATGCGTTTGCGGCTAAGCTACACGGGGATCTTACGCGGCGTGGGTGGGGTAAAGGGGGGGGGTGGTGGGAGGGTGAATTGATGATTGCCGTCTATGCTGCGTTGGGCAAATCAGGAAGCGACATGCCTGGGCTTTAGTATGCCTTCAGGCGTTCATCTAAGCCACTTCGGCAAAAGGAGGGCAGGTGATTGAGTAGTGCTCGGTTCGTATATGCGGCTAGGAGACATCTTTATGCGGGTACACGGATCTAAAATTCGAAGTCCAATAACATGAATTCAAGACGCCTTGGCAATCAAAGTGTGCCTTTGAATACGGCAGGGTCAGCGCGAGCGTACCATGTGTAGCGTCCGAGCACAAGCTGTCAGGTACGACGAAGACACGGTGTCGTATCCGTACGCATCACATTAGCGTCTGAATGGCACGCCAACCCGTCCGCACAGTCTCCTGCTACTGACTCGATAGGTCTACAGACCCAGCCTCAGCAGCCTCAGCAGCAGAGGCGTCAACACCAACAGCCAGCGCTCCAGGCAGGCGTCGGGAGGCAACCAGGCCAGACGTCGAATTTGACGGGCTGGCGGACGATACCGTTTATTTTTCCGTTACAGATGCTGTTCCCATGTCCCTCCCAATGGAACCCGCCCTCATCCTTCCATCCGGCTTGACTCCTTTCGGGGATCGTCTGACAGACTTTCTCCCTGCATGGGAAAATATCACCTCAGATGCATGGGTTTTAAAGATTGTCGACGAAGGCTATGCATTGGAGTTTGAAGAGCTCCCACCAACGGGGCAAGTTGTCGAGACCGAACCATCCTCGGCAATCCTGGCAGAGATCAATACTCTGCTGCTAAAGGGAGCAATCTCCCCTCTCCCGGACTCCCAAAACCATCGAGCCTTCTTCTCCAGGTACTTTACTGTCCCGAAGCCGGACGGCTCCCTTCGCCCCATCCTCGACCTCAGAGACTTAAACTCCTTCATCGAGCATCGAAAGTTTCGGATGGTGACGGTGTCGTCCATCGTCCCCTTCCTCCGGTATGGGGATTTCTTCGCGTCCGTCGATCTCCGGGACGCCTATTTTCACCTGGCGATCAGGAAACATCACAGACGCTTCCTGGCCTTCAGAGTAGCGGGACAATCCTACAATTTCAATGTCCTCCCCTTCGGTCTCGTGACGGCACCGAGGACCTTCACGAAATGCATGTCGGTGGTCGCAGCAGCCCTCAGACGGGAAAAGATCCGGATTTTCCCTTATTTAGACGACTGGTTGTTGGCGGCACGCTCACCGGACCTGCTGCAGGGGTGCAGGTGGCAAGGACACTCTCCCTCCTCGAAGACCTGGGCCTCCAGCTCAACGAGGAAAAATCCCAACTCCAGCCCACCACTTGCATAAAGTTTATCGGCGCCATGTTCGATTCTCTCTCCCAGACTGTGTCCCTTCCGGAGGAGAGATTCAGAGCGTTACGGACCGAGACACTGAAAGTGCGTCGCTCCCGGAGTGTGTCGGCGAAGCAAGTGCAGGTCCTCCTCGGGCACATGGCCTCCACGGTGATGGTGACACCGATCGCGAGGCTGCGCTTCCGCCCCCTGCAGAGGTGGTTCTTGGACCATTTCAACCCTATGCGGGACAGTGCCGCGAAGCGTCTCTTGGTACCGAAGTCGGTAAAGGACTCTTTGGCCTGGTGGACGAGGCGCGAACACGTCTGCAAGGGCCTTCCTTTTCATCCAGACCCCCCGACCGTCACAATCACGACGGATGCGTCGATGTTCGCATGGGGATGCCATACAGGAGATCTCTCGGTTCACGACCTGTGGTCTCCGCAAGAAAGACAGTGCCACATAAACTACCTAGAACTGTTGGCGATATTCAAGGCCCTGAAGTCCTTTGCCCTCCTGATTGCCGGAAAGTCTGTCCAGATTCTAACGGACAACACAGTAGCTATGTTCTACGTGAACAAGCAGGGCGGCACGGGATCAAGGAAACTCCTCGCGCTCTCGATGGAGCTGTGGAATTGGTGCGTGGCCCGCTCGGTATCGATATCGGCGATACACCTCCCGGGAGAGATCAACGTAGAGGCCGACGCGCTCAGCAGAACCAGGGCGACATCCCACGAGTGGAGGTTGAACCCCGAGGTCTTGTCGGAGATCTTCGAGGATTGGGGTCTTCCCGTCGCAGATCTCTTCGCGTCGCCACAAAACGCCCAGCTGCCTCAGTTCGGTGCCCGACTTGCTCCGAACACGGTGCCGGGATGCCTCGGAGACGCGTTCCTGTTGGACTGGTCGAGGCACCTGCTCTACCTCTTCCCACCGTTCCCGCTCCTCCCGAAGGTGATCGAGCGAATCCAGTCGGCGCAGACGGACTGCATCCTCGTGGCACCGGAATGGCCTCGACAGCCGTGGTTCCCGGTCTTGCTCCAGCTGTCGCAGGGGCTGATGAGGCGCCTTCCGCTTCGGCAGGACCTGCTCTCCAGGGAAGACGGCCAGCTTCTTCACCCCGACCTAGCTTCTCTGCATCTTTCGGCGTGGAGGATCCGGTGCTGAGGTCGCTGTGTCCAGGGGTCCTCCCGATCTTGGAGGCGGCGCACAAGCCGGCCACCAAGAAGTGCTACTCTGCCTGCCTTAACCGTTTCCAGGCCTTCCTCCTGGAAAGAGGCCTGACCGACGACCGACCGTCGATACCGACGATCCTGTCTTTCCTGCTTCACCTCACAGAACGAGGTCTGTCCTTGTCTTCGCTTAAGTCACACTTGGCTGCCATATCGTGGCAGCTCCAGAGGACAGGGGAAGCCTCCCTGTTCAAGGACAGCTCAGTTAAATCCTTTTTGAAGGGTTTCAACAATTTGTATCCCCCGGTTCGATCTCCGACTCCGGGGTGGGACCTTGACCTTGTACTGACTAGGCTCGGGCTGCCGCCTTTCGAGCCCCTAATTTCTGCGGACCTGCGATTGTTGACTTGGAAGGTAGCCTTTCTGGTTGCCATTACTTCAGCCCGCCGGCCGTCGGAGTTGGCGGCCCTGCGGGTGGACGAACCCTATTTTATCGTCCACGAGGACAGAGTAGTTCTCCGCACAGATGTGACATTCCTCCCTAAGGTCGTGTCCCCTTTCCATGTTAATGAGGACATTGTT